GTATAGGAAGCACTTGAAGTACTTGCATGTAAGTACTACCAAGGTCAGTTGAACTTGAACCAATCTCTCAAGCTACCTCCATATAAGCAGCAGCTACAGCAAGGGCAGCAGTCAGCTCTGGCCATTTGGGGAAATCAAGATTTTCCCATGTTCCCTGAGTCTTTAGCACCTTATACTGATGTATGGGAATCAACAACAGCAGGATCAGAAGTCTTTCAATTTTTAAACTAGCTACAGCAGTTGCAGGCAATATTCCAGCCCATATCTAATCAGGTTTTAACACTTAATAACCTATTTTTCATCACTAATCCCCTGCAGCAAGCAAGTTCCACCAGTTGGTTGTATAGCACCGTGGAAAACCAGATTGGGGCCCGGAGCACAAACAGCTGCCACCACCACCAAGGGCAACAGGACTGTTGGCCATTTCTGCCATCACAAGCTCTCACCATTACACTCTTGCCCATTAAAGATCTTGGTTTATTTTTAAGGTCAGAACCCTGCCTCAAGACAACTGTATGGTGGCAGGAAAACAAAACAAAACTCTTGAGTCTAGAGCTGTTCCCAGAGTATCTCCTACATTCAAGATTTATAGACTTGTCTATTTTCCTTCTTTAATCTGGATCTTTGTTCGCAGAACAAATTCTCTCGGTGGCCATTTCAAAACAAGGGAACCTTTGTCTGTGTTTATGTGACAGCAGCAGATTAGGATAAATAACTTGCATTTCAGAAGGTTTTTGATTTATGGTTAAGATGCAAAGCCTCTGCAGCATCAAATCATCAGGCAGAGAATCCATCTGAAGAATGATTTCTGGTACACACTGAGAAACTTTTTCCTAGAGACAGTCTCCTAGAAGAGAATTCATGTATGAAAATAAAATTAAAAGTCGAATTAACTGTGGCATTATCCCTTTCTCCTTTTCATGCTTTTGCCTTGCATCTATCTTCATTTTGACTTCAATTGGCTGCTCGCACAGCCTGGAAGACAAAAAGGCCCACAGCAAGTCTATGGGATTTTCATCATATGCTCTCCTCCACCACCCTGAGCACTCGCCTCCTCCTTCCAGAGGAGGTTTTGGGTAAATTTGTGTCAAGAACGGAGCTCGGGTGACAACATGAGCAAACCCAGCTCATAGTAGTACTCCCAAGGCTTAATGCCTCATTGAGCTGGACACCCAGGGAGAAATAGGAGCAAATCCCACAGGCTGAGCCCCTCGGCCAGTGCAGCACACACCGGATTTTAAACAGGCACTGGCTCAATGGTCTTTCCACTTAACCACAGCTCAACAGGATTTCTCTGACAGAAGTTACTTAAAAATGGTTGGGTATTGAACTTCATCCTGCAATGCTTTGCAACCATCTGAATCCTGCGAGCACTTGAGTAGAGATCAAGTTTCACATGTGCAGCTCAACGCAGCAGCACATGGGGAAACACATCTGCAGGGCTGGAACCAGAGCACACAGCCCTAGAACCAAGCTCACCACAAGGAAGGACCACAGGAGCAGGTCCTTGCTAGGCATGGGCATGTCCGTGTAGAAACACCAGTCCTGGTAGTAGAGCAGCACACACGGACTCTACGTTTGCTGCCAGCTTGCAACACAGAAGGATTAAATTAATTAATAATGCTCAGCAGGGCCAGCTAGACCCAGTGCTCCAGCCAGCACATGCAGAGAAGAGCAGGATCAGGACAGCTCAGCCTCCTTCTGCAGGCAGGACACCCACTGCACTCCTGAGGGTCTCACCACGCACCCTGGGACATGCACCCCATCCAGAGAGATATTTAAGCCCATCAGGCTTAAACACTCAGGAGACACCCAGGAAACTTCAGCATGTACATCCAAATAATCCTCCAAACAGGATTGGGAAGTGTCTGAACGCGATTGCCACCATCACTCACATCAGCAGCTCATCAGACCAGTCAAATTAACCTGCTCCTCAGAGCAGCGCTGCACACTTAACAGCGACTATAACAGCCAGCAATATTTCCTTGGTTTCCTTGGGATCCATAATGCATGTTAATTAAATACCAGTTTATTATTCAAACAGACCTACCGAGACTTTGCAGCTTTGTAATAAAAAGCATATCCGTATCTGTTCCCCTCAACTCTCATTGAATTAAACGTTTAGTGTGCCTCTACTCCAGCTCAGTGTAACTTTGGCCAAGAGGGGCCCCCAGAGCCCCTCCTGCACAAAACAGAGCTGGTCGGGAGGTCAAACTGGGTTGCTCAGGGCCTCATCCAGGGACACTCTGGAAGACCCAGAAGGGAGTTCCCACCAGCCCGCCCAAGCACAGGGTCATGGCTGTCCCAGAGCACTGAGGAAGGCAGCCAGCACAAGCCTCCGTGGAGCTTCCCATCTAACTTCTCTGGAGGACACAAGTGATATTTGCTGCTTCTACCCTTGGGGACCTCCAACTGCCACCACCTTTCAAAGAGGACCAGAAGGGGTCTGCAGTGGGTTCCACCAATTCTCCCAGCTCCCATCCAACCCAAGGCTTATACATGTCCTGGAATCTTGCTCTCACTTTGCCTTTGGTGGATCTGGCCGCACATGATCACATACAGCCCAACCACACTGAGGTGGCTTGACGACCCTGCAGAAAGTCAGACCCTAAGCCCTGCTATCGCAGGAGAAGTTGAATCGCTGCAGCCTGAACCCCGCACAAGTGGGATACATCCCTGGATACAACAAATACAGCCAAAAAAGTATCCTTCCTTAAAGAAAAAGGTGGGTTGAATCGCTGCAGCCTGAACCCCACACAAGTGGGGCAAGAAATGCATCCCTGGATACAACGAATACAGCCAAAGTATCCTTCCTTAAAGAAAAAGGTGAGAAATAATCCTCCACTTTCCAAAACTGAATTAAACAAATGAACCAGAACTTTCCAAGCAAGAAACAGATAACAGCCAAGTCTACACAAGCTCATCTGGAAGCAAGAGCTTGTTCTTGCAAATCCCATTCAATGAAGAAAATAGATTTTATAGCATTTTTTGTGAACTTTCTAATCAAACAGCACTCACCTTGGCCAGAGTTACAGATCTAAGAAGGCAAAAGTTTGAAAATTAGGAGACCTGAGTCAAAGCCCTGTGGTTCTCCTCCCCCTTTACTATTTTTTCTTTCAATAGCACATGATCAGTAATCACCAGTATTAACATCCAAGCCTCTCAGTCTAGGAATGAAGCAGCAAACATCCATCCCTCCCTACTTGTAAGGGAGGCATCTCTTTAAGAGACGTCTGCTGCAGCAGTCAAAGACAAGTTGATCCACAAGTTGGAGCTCAATTGCAAGAAAGTAAATCAAAACGTATAAATTGGCTTAGACACCTAAAACAATAAACGTGGATGAGTCAGAGGTGAGAGAGCTGATAAGGACTGTTTTTTTTTTTGCTCACTGCTGAGTCCTTACTGTGCTCACACTGCATCTGCTAAACAAGAGACAGGTCGGAAAGAAATGGTCTTGCATGTCAGGATGCAGCTCAGCTTCCAGACCAGTGTAAGGATGCGAAGAGCTACTTTAAGGTACCCGTGAAGAGGATAGAGACTGAATAACATTCTGCCTTAGTTTCACTTAGCTTTGGATTTCCCTTTGAGGAGGAACCAGGGTCTTGTGCGAGTTTCCCAACACCTTTGCCTGCTGTTTGCACCACTATTTGTCCCATCTCTCAGCTCTAACTGGTCCTACAACTAAGTAGTCTCCCTCTGCCTTTCTTCTAGCTCTGTATTTGCCCCTTTCTCACACCACAAGCTTCCTTATAGAGCTGAGCTCTCCTGGGACAGACTAAGAACTCTGCTGTAAAAGATTTACCATAAATAATCTTCCTTTGCTGTAAAAATTAACAGCAAACACACATCGTTAACATTGGAATATTTTCTAAAACACTTCAGAGCCTCCAGAAAACATTTTCCCAGCAACACAGAAAAACCTCTAGTCCCTGCAGACCGAGGCTTTTTAAGAACACAAAGCTCCAAGGCACCAGGTCCTCAGAACGTGGCACCAGATGCAGGCCCCTGCCTGGCACTGCAGTTGCCAGCTCCCCGCACCGGTGTTTTTTGCTGCAGGACAGGGTCTGCTTCAATGTGCAACACGTGCCACAGTGCTGCCTGCACATGCTGGGATGCCAACACAGCCACTGCCCAGCCCCACAGCTGCAAAACTGCCCCCAAGCACATCAGGAAAGGCCAGCAGGGCCTTGGCCCTCCTGACACATCTGCAATCATCGGGGCAGACGGTTCTGGGAAGAACAAGCACACAAGCAGTGTCCTCCCTCATCCCTGGAGCACGGCTGAGCCCCAGACACAGTAACGAGGGACAGACGGACGCTGAGCAGCCCCACACGGGCTCCTACCTTCAGTGCGGATGGTGAAGGGCGAGTCGCCCAGGCGCTTGGCTGAGAACTGCCCTCCCAGCGACGTCATTAAGAAGCACAGGGTGAAAAATCCAATGCCCAGCACAAATATCCTGCAGGAGAAAAGCAGAGGGGTGAGGAGCAATGAACCAACTCCCACAAATGTCCCTGTGTCTCTCCAGGCCCACCCTGGGGTAACCTCCGTACACGTTTCTGCTGCCCCCAGCTCAGACCTTCCTCCCACCCATCACTGCCTGCCCTGAGCAGGTGCTTCAGCCCTAACATGGGCACAGGGCAGCTGAGTTTTGCCCTAGGGCACAGGCTGGCATCCCTAGCCCTAACCCCACAGCAAGAGCCCACTCTGCCTGCAGCCCAGCAAGGTCTCAGCCAGGCCCCCTTGGGGCTGCTGTGGGCTCCCACATAGCACCCTGCAAATCCAGTCCCTCACTCAGACAAATTTGCATGGACAACAGGGCTTCTAACCTCCTTACTCCCAAACCACATGGTAAAAGAGGCAAAAAAACCTCTGTTCCATCAGCTTGACACCTGCCCATAGTGCACCAGCACATTCGGAAATCCCTGCAACCTCATCAGGGCATCAGAGAAGCCTGGGACACAGCAAACCTCACTTCACAACACATTGCTCCATCCAACCCAATAACTCCAATACCCTCTGCGGATCACCGCAGGCATTGCAATAAACAATTCCCATTTTCCTCTAGGCAGGAACTGAAAGGAAAGGAGACCTTCCTTTCAGAAGGAAAAAAAAGCTCTTTTGTTCCTCCTGCAACAAGGCCCGTGGTACCCGGCACCTGGCCTGCTCCATCCACAGCCGGTGACAACAGACCCACAGCTCGGACATATCCCCTTTTTGCTTGCTTTATCCCCCAGGAAAGCAGGCAGCACCTCTGCACGCACCAAGCAGAGCTCCCGGGACCCCTCCAACGGGTGCAAGAGCTGCTAGAGTTTCTCTGGCTGGGTCTGCCCAGAGCAGCATTTTGGAGGGGTGAGAAGCTTGAACACAGGAGCTGGTGAGCAAGTTGTGGGTTATCACACACAGGGAAGCACAAGGCAAAGGTCTCCCAGCCTCCTGAGTCTCCCACCCAGATATTCATGGCATCCAGGGCATGACAAGGTGCTGGAATGGAGCTTCCCAAGCCCATTCCCCAACAATCCCTCTTTTAAAGAGGATTTTTTTCAGCTAACCCCTTCGATGGCACCCAGAGCCTGGGACTCCTGCACAGGCCAGCTCAGGGCTGCTCAGCATGCAGCTCCCATCAACAGGGAGCCAAAGGTCCCCGATGCTTTCAAGGGAGGATTTGGTTGCTGTTTGCAGCATGCTGGGAGAGCCAAGAGCCAGGCAGCATTTCTGGCTGTTTTCCACAGCCTCTGAAAGGAGCTGCTTCCACATCCAAGTCTCCGCAAGGTGCAGCATCCTCCAACATGTGTGCAAGCAAAACCCAGCGTGGTTTCTGTACACTGTGGGCAAGGGCTCCTAGAGCTGCACGAGCAATGCGGGTTTTGGCTAGCCAAATTTCAAGGGGAAAAGGGAGAAAAAACAACTGCTAAAGAGCCTTGTGAAACAAAGGTATTGGTTTTAAGCAGCAAGGGCTGTGCTCGCACAGGAGCCCAGAGCTGCTGGGCACATGCTCATTAGCATCCCTGCCTCTTGCCATCTCTGGACTAAAGAAAAGTAAATGGCAGGGAATAAGAAATAGCAGCCCTCACTGACAAGTTAACAGTGACATCCATGGGGCTCTGGAGCCACACGTGGCACCCCAGCACAGCTGTCCAGGTACAGCTTTTCCAGAGGCCACTTCAGGAAGAAGTGCAGCATCCCAACGCAGAATCATTAGACTACAGCCCGAGGAGCAGAGGACGAGGAGCCAGTTATGAGTTCAGCCCACAGCACACAGGCACTGCAACTATCAACCACTGCCACAGGCTGGCAAATGGAGCAGCCTGTTAAATACAGGAGAGATTTGGGAGAGATGAAGTGCAGCATTAAGCAGCTCTAGGGCTTCACTTTGCAGGGAGGAGCACCCACAACGTGTCCCTGAGACACCCCCAGCTGCTCCTGCAAGACATGGCACCAGTCGCATGCAACCTACCTCCTCGCAACAGCAACGATGTTCCTCTTGCTGAGCCCGTGCCCACGCATCGCTCACAACATGCAGCCAAATCCCAAGCAAGGTGCCTGCTCCAAGGAGCCCACCCAACCCCATCCCTCAGCACCCTCTGGCTCCTGCCTGCCTCACCTTTATAGACTCTCCCCAGCTGAGTCTCGCAGCAGATCAAGGTCACCTGGCCACATTCCCAGTGGCTCTGGGCAGCTTCCAAGCCTCAGCCAGGAGCACAGCAACATCCTGCTCACTAGAGTTAATTTGGGGAGCCTGGGAGAGGAGCTGAAGTCTTTGCCTCCTTCAGGCTTGTGACATGTGGTGGGAGGCAGTGGCTCTCCTATCTCTGCCCAATTTTCCCTGAAAAATGTCACTCCCTGCACCAAGGGGCTGGGGATAAAATTCCCGCTCCAGCTCCTTGGGCAGGGAGAGTGGTGGATGGTGGAGAAGGGCTCTGCTTGTGTCTGGTGGAACCAAACGCTGGTACCAACGCTTGCAAACCACAGTGGGAACCGCTCAGAGAGCTGCTCTGCACAAGAGAGGATGTCCAAGCGGGCTGGCAAAACTGCCTAAAAGCCCCATGTAGGCACTTGGAGAGTGAAGCAGATAAAGTCCCTCTTATCTGTGAACGAGCAGCCCCTCAGGGATGGAAAACAATTTAAGCAGGCTATGAAAAGCATCACACGCTTGGCTCGTGTCCTTGAGGGCCTTTCTACAGGCAAGTCTTGAGCGTCCTTGAGCCACGGCCTCCCTTGCAGCTGCTCAGTCACTGCTGAGGCTCTGCTTGAGCATGTGGGGGGACAACCTGTATCTTCTACCCCTCTTCCAGCAGGCCTTGGAGGAGCCCACAGCTGAGCAGCATTTACAGAGAGGGTAGAGCATCCCTGACACTGTGAAGCAATGTGGTTTCCCAAGATGTGGGGACCTCAGTCCCAACCATTCCTGGCCAGGCGGTGCAGTGAGGTGTCTGGAAGAGGGTCTCCTTGGTGACTTGGCACTGGGAGTGTGACAAGGGCATCTCTGGATCCCAGCTCAGCCTTGAGGGACTGGATTTGCCCTAAAAGGAGGATAGGGGGAAACTCTGGCGTTTCCCTAGAAGAGGACCAAAACAGCTTTGTGGAGAACTCACAAGCTTAAGAAGCGTGAGATTGATCTCAGCCAAGACACCAAGTTCCTGCTTAAACCTGGGTAAGTCCCTTAGATCAAAGGACCATTCCAGGGGCAGGTCACGAGTGTAAAACCCACCAAGGGCCCCACCTTGCCTGTCTAATCCTTCCCCAAGGCACATTTCAATGAAGCATCACCTGAGGAACAGACATTTAAATCACCAGCCTTGATCCTCTTCTTCACTTCCATCCTTCCTACTGATAACATCGCTATGATTATGCAAGACCTTGTTTATGCATTTTAATCTTCATAATTATAATCTGGTAAGGAGTGATGGTTGAACACAGGAAAGAAAGAAAGGAAAAAGGCTTCAAATGTGATCTATGCTCTAGCATCTCACTTTATTTCCAAACCGACTTCTTTTTATACTTTCTTAACACAAGTGTTGCAAAGCGCACAACCAATCAGCATCTGGCCACCTGCGCGGTTGTCTGGCTTTGTTTCTTTTCTTCTGGCAAGACACGTCGCACACGAGGCAGGGGGAGGTGTTCCTCAGTCCTCGTCTTTCTCGGCTCTGTCCCCCATCTGCTGCAAAGACTGACACCCTTGTGGTTAACTATCTGCTAACAAGGTACTATTGTCTTTGAACAAGCCTCCACAAGGGGGAAACTCTGGCGTTTCCCTAGAAGAGGACCAAAACAGCTTTGTGGAGAACTCACAAGCTTAAGAAGCGTGAGATTGATCTCAGCCAAGACACCAAGTTCCTGCTTAAACCTGGGTAAGTCCCTTAGATCAAAGGACCATTCCAGGGGCAGGTCACGAGTGTAAAACCCACCAAGGGCCCCACCTTGCCTGTCTAATCCTTCCCCAAGGCACATTTCAATGAAGCATCACCTGAGGAACAGACATTTAAATCACCAGCCTTGATCCTCTTCTTCACTTCCATCCTTCCTACTGATAACATCGCTATGATTATGCAAGACCTTGTTTATGCATTTTAATCTTCATAATTATAATCTGGTAAGGAGTGATGGTTGAACACAGGAAAGAAAGAAAGGAAAAAGGCTTCAAATGTGATCTATGCTCTAGCATCTCATTAGCAGACAAATTCTCTTTGATTTTGAATGGACTATAGAGAGTGGTGGAGAATCAGAATTTCAGAATGACTTTTTTTTTTTTTAAAGGAGGCATTAGAATCTAACCCTAATTAATTTTCTTAAGGGAGAAATGACATCCAGTTCAACAGAAATTCTCCAGTGAGTAAGAAGATTTCAGGGACTTGCTCTCCATTTGAAGATCCTGTCTCTTTTACTTTGTGCTGAGCTCCTGATGAATAAAAATCCTGGGTCCAGCTTCAGCCAAGTGCAAATTCCTTGTGCAGAAAACTAAAACTGAGAAGCTGATAAAACAGACTGAGGCCTAGATCTTCAGAACTGCCCATAAAATGCACTGGGCCCTCTGCCCCCAGAATTAATTCTCGCTCGCTGAAGATCACACAGCTTCAATGACCAAGTAGCATCTCCTTTGCAAGCCAGCTCTGGCTGTCATCACACGTCACATTTAATTCATCATCACGGTGCTCTCGCTGTGCACAGTTCTGGCACCAATTCCCTCTACAGATCTACCCCAAACTGAAATTTTCACAATGTTGCATTCTGGCTTCATGCCTATAAGAGGAGGAAGCCAAATTCTGCTGTGTCTTTACTGCAAATTGGAAGCGATGCCCCAGCGTGACACGGTCCTGGAGCATTTTAGCCTGCATAAACGAAAGCCACGTGCATCCAGGAGGGACACACAGGATGGGACACGACCCAGCAGGGACCCCGGGATGCGGCACGGGACCCAGGGACCTCCGGCCGGCTGTCCATGGTGCTGCAGCACCAAGCAGCTGCGCGCCGGGCTCCTGGCCCGTACAGGGAGAGGCAACTAAGACGCCTGGGGAGAAAGACAAGATCTCTCACTAGACAAGTTTTCACAATTCAAGCCCTTTCAGCCCAAAAGTTGAACGGCAATTTCTAACAGCAGCAGCTGGGTGAATAAAAAAAATCCTCCTTTTCTCGCAAACCCTGCTCTGCCGGGGCCCTGCGCTGCCACAGCGCTGCCGCTGCCGAAGGGATGCTCAGCTGCAGGAATCCTCCTCTGCAGCAGCAGCCGGGCAAGAGGAGCCGCTGCTGCTGTTGCCCATGGCTAAAGACACAGGGGAAGCCCTGGGTTTCCTGCCAGCAAAATTTCCCAAACTCCCTGCTTTAACTCCCCCCTGCTCAAAACCAAGAGCTGGGCTGGCCCCATGGTGACTGCACCCACCTGCACCTGGCACTGTCACAGATTAGATCCCCTCATGCTACGCAGGGTGAAGTCAGAGCCGTCCCTGGCACTTTGCTCCTGGTTCCTCGCTCTGCTTCCCGTTGGCCGCAGGAGCTCCTGTGCTCCGGAATTTGCGTCGCGTTGCCGAACGTGCCGCGAGCGCGATCAGTGAAACGTTTTGGCGCACAGGGTCAGGCTCCCCGTTGGGCACTCGCTGACGGCACTGCTGCCCAGAGGTTTCACCAAGCAGGGGATCACAGCCCGGGCTGATGCGGAGCCACACAGAGCCGACCTGCCGCCACGGCAGTGTCTTGTTCAGGTCGCCACTGATGGCCACCGGCCGACACGGGATGCCGATTTTCGGGGAGCGGTGCGGATGGCCACCAGGCTGCACTCAGGCAGTGCACGCAAGCCCGTGCCATGCTCGTACAAGGTGACAAGGGATCGAGATGCTACAAGGCCTCCGGCTCAGCACATCACCAGCACGGAGGGAACATGGCAGGACAACTGGACGAGGGGGTTGTGAAAGACACAGAGGGAAATTTCTCCTTTTAGGAAAAGCCTGACCAGTTAAAAACTGAGTCGCCGCCTGGTTTGCTCTAGTTTCAGAGCAGAAGCCAGCCCAGGGGGTGAGAACCGGACCCTCCAGGGACTTTGCTCTGCTACAGGCACCAGGGACCCTCCAGCCTGGGGTCTCCTTCCATCACAACTCCCTCCCCGTGCTCGCTCCTCCTGCAAGTCAAACCCCAGGTCACAGCCTGGCTGAAGCTTTCCCTGCTCTGGATGTGGGGATGGAAAAAGACAGATGCTCGAGCCAGGAACACCGGTGCTAGGGACTAACTAAATCCACTTAGGAAAATAAAACAGCCCCTGTCCGAGCTGCGCAGAGCGTGTGCTGCCCCTCTGGGCGCATGTCCTGGCCATTCCCACTGCAGTCGCACACTCGCAGCCTCGGAGCGTTGCCCCTTTCTACCCGACCGGTGGCTGGTAGGAGCCAAAGGCTCTTCCTCAATGACAGGGAGGTGCCGTTCCCTGCTCGTCCATGTCCCCACACGGAGCAGGGCAGACCCCGCTCGGAACACAGCCCAGGACCATTCCTACCCACCGCTGCTTCCCTGCATGACCTTGGCTAAGTCTGTCCCCTCCAGGGTCCTGCCGCAGGATCCGGGAGCAGGAGTCTCCAAAGGAAAGCGGTGCGGAGCTGTACAATGCTTGGAGCAAGGGCAGACCCCATCTCCAAACCCGACCACAAGCAAGTAGGGCAGACACAGCCCTTTCCTCCTCTGCAGCCCTCAGCCTGCAGCTAAGTTAAGGGGCCAGCGGGCAGGTTCCTCCAGTTCCGTTACGCAGCAACGACCACTGGAAACGGCTCAGCTCACCTCACTGCTCTGTGGCTTCACTCCCCAGCACTTTCCCCTCTCGTGGATTTTTGGTCCCTCTCTCCATTAAAAAAAAAGCAAGCGCTGATGTCTCCAATGCTTCTCAAGCCTGGGAGTGACCAAAGCGTGAGAGCGAGGACCGGAGCGGCGAAAGCGAAGGCGAGGGAGTAAAAATGGGGGGAAGCAGCAATCGGTGGGTATGGAGCCGGGGGGTGGCAGAGCGGGTATCAACCCCAGCTCTGCTGCCAGGTATCCAGGGGCAGATTTAGCACCGTCCGTCAGCAGCGGTGGATTTAAACCAGAGGAACCTCTTCCCCAGCGAGTACAGTACCTGCGAGGACGGTTATTAAGAAGAAGCAGCAGCAACCAACCTGCAACGGATCCCGGCGGATACCTGCGTAATGAGCGGATTAGAAGCCGAGGGGCAGCGGGCGCCGCAGCGGCAGCTCCCAGCCCCCAAACTTGCCCGGATCCCTGACATCCTCACGGGGGTTCCCCGCTCCCCAGTCCCCCGGGAAGGCTCCGCTGCAGAAACGCGTCCAGCAACCGCGGAGAGGGGGAGGAGGAGGGCAGATAAAGGCGCAACTTTACCTAAAGGGTCTCAAGGTGACCAGGCATCTCCTGACCATTATCTTCCCATCCGCGTTCACTGTGAGCATCGT